TTCATGACTACGGCTTTCGCGGTGTGAATTTGACGAGATAACTCGACTATTTCTCTTTGAGAGCCTAATTCGAACAACGTCAAAGAACGCAGTGTTTCGTCAAAGGAGCCCTCGTCAACGACGATGACGACGTTGTCGCCGTCGCCGCCACCGTCAAAACATGTGGGTGGCGACTCCAGCCGTTCGATTTATCCGGACATTCCTTTCTCGATCAAAAATTCGCCAAACAACGCTATCATTAAACGAGACTTCTCTGTCGTTATCCATCAAACCGGGCTCGTGTTTGCGGAACCGACTGCTTCCGAAAGACTTCTCCGGATTGCCTTACAACCCCATGGCAGGCTGCGTAGCCTCCAACGAAGTAATTTAGATTCTGTGGATTCGAAACGATATGATATTCTTAGAGAAAAAATCCATGTCTGCAGTTTCTCGGTTGAACCTTCATTGATCCCTATCGAATCGTGTCTGACGCTATTCGCTTGTGACGTGTGTAGAAAATTTGTTTATTTTCACTGAGCCAAGTCTTGAAGGCAGCCAAGCGCCGGTATGCCGGTCCGCCGGGAACGGACGCCCGCCCCTTTTTCGCGCTTCTTACGTGTCTCCCGTTGACACTCTGTAGTTTCAATGTTTGTATTTTGAGCCGGGTCAACAATCGTCTCACAGTGAAATGATTCTTTCCACGTTCTCTTTAACGCTAGCATCGTTGTCGCGGGGATTGTTCGTTTTCCCCCCTTTCCATTTCATTTTCCTTCGCTCACACCGCGTGGCCGATGAGGGGGAATGGAGGCGAGGTGTTGAACATACTTTATTAACTCACCTCCCGCGAGTTCACGGAATGCTGTGCCAGCCTGAGCAAATACCGAGGAGACATCAACACTGGGCAAACAATTCTGTGGCTCAAGTTTAGGGTTCCCCGATTTATCCGACGACCAACGAATGGAAGGGATGATGATGACCCGTGGATGAATATTTTCGCGCCGCGCTGTTTTAATCCGAAGACGTGGATGGAAAATGGAATCTTCTCATGGAAAACCTTGTTGACTCGGAGGGAATCGACTCGATGCTTGACTTGAAAGCTTCCAGAGATTCGGTTTTGTTTTCTTATTTTGGAGTTCTGTACCATTGTGGAGTTATTTGGCAAGTGTCGCTGCCAATTCCTGATTCGAGTGGCCGCCTCGTCTTGAACGGAGCTACGGCGCACGTCAGCTCGGTCCACGCAGTCCATAGACCCAAACGATACGGAGAGGATACGTAGGTGTCACGTTGTATTGGCATTCGACGAATCCTTGCAAGGAAATGTCCAAGTGAAGAGAACGCGGTTTGGCACGTCTTCTGGCTTCTGGTTTTCTTCTCACTGGCATTGCAATCGACTGTGTGATGAGTGAATGTTGACTGAATTCCCCTCCCGAGGCAGCTCGATCCTCTGGCTGATTAATACGCGAGAGGAAATTTCACGCTGGCAAACAAGATTAGTCTAATGTTGTTCTCTCCTTCTGGAATACGTGGATTACTCTCGCGAGCATAATTACTTGATTGGCCTGTCCATAATTTTCACACAATCTCGGAATCGGTGGGAACTCACGGTCGAGCACGATGAAAGCAAGCGGGTGCTTATATGAGGGCTTGAAAAATTTTTGATCTGCTCTCAGTCAGTCTGTAGATGAAGGGACCATCGAATTGATTAAAATCCGATCCGATGCGAAGCCCCGTGATGAGGTTCTGGTATCCCCGAGCGAGAGAGCATCGCGCCCACATATACATACATTCAATCCAAATTATAGATCTTCGCCGGCTCCCGGGTGGCCGTCTGGGTCGCTTTGATTCGCTTCCATGAGCTCTCCGGAACTTAAGGTGGTCGCCATCGAAGACATCTGAAATTTTACGACTCCTTTCTGAAACTACATATATCGCGAGACGAGGACTATAAAGGACGGGCGAGTGGCCGTACACTATTCGTGCACCCACGCATGTAATCATATCGCTCGGAACAAAATCAGAGAGTCTTCAAAAATCGCCTTCCAGAGACGATGGAACCATCTTAGAATCAGATTCTATTGCATGGCGGGAGTCGCAGGAGCGTTCACCAGGGCCGTGAGGGAACGTGGACGTAATAATGAATATCTTCATAGCGCTCGGAAGGGTTAATTTTAGTGAGATGCTAATTCTTCTTAACGATCTCATAAGTTCCTCTAGGATCGCTCCGGAGAGACCCGGGTGCGAGTGGAACTTCGTGTTTCCGCTTCCCGCTCCGATCATGAGCGCTGAACCTCGATCGATTCCTCGGACGATGGTTCCTCGTCTGCGATCGATGTGAGCTGGGAATTCTCGGAATCCTTCCGATACGCGTTCCGAATGCGTGAAATGATTTCGTCGCTAGATATTTTTTTATCCAGTCGAGTGGAAGACGTATCTCATTTCGTGACATGACTTATGTCATCATTAAAATCGCGTCATTGATTTGGTCCATGGAAAATATTGTGCTCCATTAGTTATCAGGGCTTCGCAATCTTTCTCAGCACGCTTTGTGGCCAGTGTCGATCACTGTCTGACGCGGCGTCCGGCTCACACGCATGGCGTGCGGCGGGAGCTGCGAGTGAAGCATGAATGAGCAATTTACTGTCGACGTGATGTCTCTTTAAAAATCATAAGCGTCGACGGTTTTGGATTCCGTTGCCGTCATTCTCGGCAGCCACATACGTTGCGATGAAGTCTATTCTGTGCCGCTCACCAAGGCGACGTCGTTAGATCTTCCAGTTCGCAATCAATGTGTCAGAACTTGTGTCGTCTGTATGCGATACGGCTGACATGACGAGCAGGCGAGTTTCATTCGAAGGTCTATTCCTCTCATTCCCTGGGGAGATTAAGGAACGCCGCTCATAGGGTGCAGCAACAGCTGCGCTCATGTACTTTGGAATGCCGATCGCATTCAGCTTTCTTCGCGCTGTCTATTCTGTCAACGGTCTTCCGAGTGACATCCTCATGATTCTAGAGCAGACCGACAAGAAGCCAATCGATCCGGCGGCTGCTCGGCCAGCTTTCATTCAATAACCAAGCAAGAAACTGATTTTACGGCCGGGCCATGAGCTGGGATCGAGCTCAGCCACTGATTATCGTAGTTTGAGTGTTTGTGGCATACTGCCACGGTCGCTCGTTGATTGCTCGGCTGATTCTTGCTGCCACGTCGGTGGAAGAAGAATGAGACGAAGAAGAAAAGAGAATTTAACTTGGATTTCGCGGAAGTCACGTTCGACCACAGACCGTGGTTCTTGGCCCTAAGGACGTTCCGTATCGATACGACGCGAGGAAGAAGAAGAACAAGGAGAAGCAGACGAACAAGATAAAAGAGCCTTAGAAGAAGAAGCAGCAGCAGCTCATCGACAGCAATACTGCTTCTCGGACACTTAGATGGACGGTCGGACGGTGGAAACAGTCAGTGGATTAAGAAATGTTTGACGGCGGTGACGCGGCTCCAGAGAAGCTGCGGAGACACTGTCTCGGAGAGCATCTCGGGAAAGTCCCGTTGGGATCTGAGGAGTTCGTCCTCCTCCGATGATCTCGTCGATCGACGGACGCGGGGCAGAAGTCCGATGGAAGTTCGAGTAGCCATGATCATCATCCTGGGAACTATCGTCGGCTCATCCGTCAGTCAGTCAGTCAGGCAGTCGGACGGCCGAGCGTTCAGCTAACGCACTATCTATTCCCTGGTTTGGCGTAATTTATGTTCGGAGACCGATAGAAAATGTCACAGCGAGCGACACGATTGCTTTCTCCTGTTCTTCGTCTTCTTCCGAAGACGACACGTTGCTTCTCCGTACGTCGGGGACGACTTCGCTTGTCTTCGCGAAGTGGTTGCGGTCGCCGTCAATTTGAAGGCGGCCAACTCGTCCGTATGTGTGTCCATGTGTTTCACGACTTGCTTTATTTCCCCTGCTATGTGTGTATGTATGGCTCGACGATGAACGTCGAGCATTGCCGTGTGCGGGAGTCTTCGCTGCGGGAGTTTTTCTCGAGTCGTGGTTCCTTGTACTGCTCTGACCCGGAGTCATGAGCGTGAGACAGAACTTTGTCTCAACTTCTCCACCATTTCAATGAACTCGGAACTATTGCCTCCGTCGACTTCTTCGCTCACAGCGGCTCGCTGTGACTAACAATACAGAAAACATGTAGATGACCAGCGATCTCTTTCGCTTCGGGGTCTTAGGTCAAGGCTCGCATCCGCTACGCGTCCGAAGATCGTTGCCGAGAGGTTGAAAAATGAAAACCAGGGCTGTGTATGTTACATGATATCAGCCGGAGGGGATTCCTTTTATTGATCAACTCATGGAATTTTTAGCCGCGTGACGGACGGTCGGACCCACCGACCGACCAGCCGCCGCCGGATCAATAGAAGAAAAGAGGGGAGCTGATTCCTCTTGGGAAGAGGAAAAAGCGGGTTATATATGTCCTTTGACAGACACAGAAGGGAGGAGGAACAAGCATTATCTTATCGGACTCGCGCGCGGCTGTTCCGTGATTTGGGTCACAGTGGAAATTTTCACCGGGAACGCGGGCAAGACAAATGAAACAGCTGATCAGACAGAATATGGCCAGCTAGCTGCTGGATCTGAGAGGAAGCGATTTTCCGCGGGCGCGTTCCCGGCGAACATTGCAGTGAGCATCATTGAAGCCATCTCCTCCCTCTTGTTCGAAAGCGTCTTCAACTCGGATCGGGTTACGCTCTCGAAGGCTGATAGCGATAAATTCTACATATTTCCGACGTGAACGAATCGCAATCTGCGAATCGCACCGAGTAGAGAGCGCGACCGGCGCCACGTACTATCGAGATTCGGTGGTCGACATTTTCCTTTTCCTATCCGTCCTGAAAATTCCTCCGGGCTCCAGGTGAAGACCGCCGACTCTCGCTTGTCGGACTCTCGTCATAGATCAGTATGTATAATTGCGGGGAATAGGCCTCGCGAAGCTCCTCGACTCGCCTCTGAAAATTTCCGATTTCATTGCAGGGGGAAATTCGCAACCGTGCGACGCTGCCGTCACATGGAATCCGGGAGGGATTACGCAGCGAAATACCTACGGAAACGCCGGAGATCCGAGGATGTTCGACACGAGCTGATTCACGAAGCACTTGTGCTTGCCATCGCAGAGGATTGTGAGCGAATAGTCTCATTGAGGGAGGTTTTCGAAACGCCGAGCGAAGTTATCCTGGTCCTTGAAATGTGAGTGGAGTATTCGTTTTCTTTTGACATCCTCGCACGCGCTCCTTCCGAGGACTTTCTTACGCGTCAGCGGGTACTCTTCTATTCCCCGATGACGTCATCTGAGTTTTCAAAGGCATCATCCTTGTCGCGTGAGCTTATGTACTGAGCCAGCGAACTGGTTGACCGACTGACAAAGCCTCTCAGCAGCCGACGTGTTTACGAGCCGCTTTCAAACCGGGTAGGGCATTCGCTGGAATTCCGATAGATCTGTTTCCGTAACAGAGACATACTCCGTACTTCTCTCAGTTAGTCAGCCAGACAGCCAGCCGTTCAGACGGTAGGAATGCCGCGGCGAGAAAAAAAAACTGTTCGCTCGCTGACGATCTCTCCCGCTCGTGAAACGGCCCAAGCATCATGGAGCTGACGAATATCGTTCGCTCATCGTCGAGGCTCGGGATTTTGAATTGCTCGTGGTCGATCGTGCCACGTGCTCTAGGTCTCAGTCGGCAGCCAAGGATGATCTTCTTCTGGCGGGCATGCGCACTCTACCTGAGCAGAGAAAGGGGCGAAGCTATGTTTAGCCAGCTCGGAGAAACTGCTCTGACCGATCCCCTTGTGACGAGACTAGCGGTGCTCGCTAGCGAGCATCTCCTTTGCTAGGGGAGCTATCCAACAGCGGATCCTTCTCAGAACAAAGCGGATATCCTCCTCGTGAAGAAATCCCGTGTTCGAAACTCTCTCGTGATCTCACCCAGAATTTTCCTCACCGACAGGGCCAGCGGTGGTGAGCTTCAACACGTCCTCGACTCCGAGGATTGTCTTCCAGAAGCGTCTTGCCGCCAACTCCTTCTCCAGATTTGCCAAGGACTAGAGTTTCTACATAGAAATCACATCGCCCATCTGGACATCAAACCCGCAAACCTCTTGCTGACCAGCGCTTTCCCCCATGGCGAAGCGAAACTGTGTGATTTCGGTATATCGAGGCTCATCCTGCCAGGCGAAGTGATTCACGAAATAGCTGGAACCCCTGATTACATAGGTTCGTATGTAGTCTTCGCTGGATGGAGTTCTTAGGCGGAAAGCTCATTCCGGTATCGCGGCATGATTCGGAGTTTTACTCGAAGGGAATCGAGATGAGTCGGACTCGAGCCCCCTGCCTCTGCGAGAAAGCGTGACATTCCGTTGTACTGACCGTGGATTTTCCATTTTTTTTTTCAGCTCCTGAAGTTCTCCAATATGAACCGATTTCGCTCGCAACTGACATGTGGTGAGTTTCGGTAATTTTTATTTCCAAACAAGGGAGAGCGTACCATTCTACCGAAGAATTCTTTGTACTTGTTTTTTTTTTGCCTACAAATAATACTTGAGCCAAGGACGTGGGGCAAGAGCCGTACCGTAAATCACGTGTGTCGCCAGGTGGACCCACCCTTAGCTATATTTCAGCCCTGTCGAAGAGCAGGGAGTTCTTAGTGTTTTCTATATCTTGGACTCCTTCTTCGCATCGATATTTTAGCTCCCGTTCTCATTATTTCTGCTAATTCGTTATTGTCAGAGGCACCCACTCGGCGCAAGACTTGAATCGACCACGGTTGGGAGCGATCGCTCCGAGGCAAATGTTACTGCTTACCGAAGCCATGTCAAGTAATTCGATGATCGGACATTTCGTCTAGCACGATAGCCGCTACCGACAGTAGTCATGGTGGCGGTAGTTGTTCGTACTGTGGTTGTTATTAGAAGCGAGATGTCTTTCCGGTAATCATGTCAGATGCAGCGTTCATTCGATTAGCTCGCTCTGGATTTATCGTCAAGTCATGTATGAACGCGATCAAAGTTCGGTGGGGTGCACGGGCATTCTCGTGGTGCGGCTCAGCCTTCATTCGATGCGAGCCAAGAACTAGAAGGCGTTCGAGTTCGGAGGCTGTGCGCGCGATTATGTTGGACGAAACGATCTGCGGTGCCCTTCAATCGGATGTAAAGCCCACTGCTTGGCTCTTATCTCTCGATATCTCTAGGCTCTCCTGTATAAGGAGGTCAATAAATCAGACCGTGGTCCAAGTCCAGAGCCTGAAGTCGAGTCTCATGTTATGCGCTCAGAATTTTTTCTTCTTGTTGCAGGAGCGTCGGAATCCTCACCTACGTCCTTCTGACTGGTCACACACCTTTCGGAGGGGACACCAAACAAGATACATATTGTAATATAACTCTCGGAGAGCTGGACTTCCCTCAAGACCTCTTCGAAGACGTCAGTCCGGAAGCCATACATTTCATCACACAGCTAGTCGTCAAGGATCCAAAGTGAGTTCTCTGTTTTCAGTCAGTATCGCGCTCCCGATCGCTTCGATTTAATTGGTGAGAACTTACTGCCGCCGGTGCGATTCTATCTCGAATCTCTGACCGGGCTTCCCTGATCCCTTACAGAAAACGTTTGGGTGTCGGAGACGTCTTGCGTCACCCGTGGTTGAACTCATCATCGCATTCTCCGATGTCCATGTCTGTGACCTGTTTGTCGGAGGGCGACCATAACAATAACATCAAGAATATCGATAAAGACTGCGCCAGTCTGATCCAGTGTGAAACACCACCGACTTCCTCCATGGGGAGCTGTGAGAGTGACAACGAAATGGAAGAGATCAAATCAGCCGCTCCGGTAATCAAGAATGACGATCTGGAAACCGGCGAGTCGGTTGCAGCTCCGATAATTATTCCTCCAATCGTGCCAAATGACGCGGCCCCCCTGAGTCCCAGCAAAACCGCCGAGCAAGTCGTGGAAATCCAGGACAGCAGCGAAGAAGAAAGGTTGGTATCATCCGAGTTCTTCCCTCTTCAATTATTGCTATCATGCCCGACTTCCTTATTGTACAGAAATACATGATCGCGAGAGCTCGTTCAGGGCTTGATCGAGAATTCCGAAAAAGGGAATCGAATTCCTCGCAGTACGCTCAATTGCCGATTTATGAAATGGAGGACACCCGTCTCTCAAAAACCCTCGATATGAACAGCTTCTCCAACTTTCTCTTCTTCTTGTTCCCCGTTCCCAATCTCATTAACAATTGTCCGCTACCATTCCCCGAAACCGAATTCCCAAACTATGCCACTAGCGACTCGGATTCGTCTTCGGAGGACGAGCAGGTTCTCATCACTGACGTGACCGATGAGCCTGGGAGTCAAGTTGAAGCGGAGGAAAACTCGGCGACTCCGATCGTCACGGATTCGGAGGACGTTCTCAGTCCGAATACTTCCCACAGCAATATCCACATTCTACACAAGAACCAACGTATTCTGCTGAATAGACTAGCCGACAGAGAACTCCTCAAACCCTCGGGGTCTCAGAGCAGCACCACTTCGAAGAGTCTCTCAGCCTCAGATTTGAGGAAACCCGGTGCCCTCAAGCGTCGACCGAGCAAGAAAAAAGCGAAGAGCAAGAGTCAATCGAATTTCTGCGATTCGATCGAGCGCCGTAACACAGTGATTGAGCGTGTTGTCACTCCGCCGGGAGCCAGTGCATCGGGTCCGAGCGTCCGTCCTAAGACTGTACAGGGCGCCGAAACTCGGGAGAAGACCGGACCCTCGAGTTCGCGGAAAACGTTGAACGAGAACTATGCGAGGATCGAGGACGGAGAAGTTTCCGTGGAGAAAGTCGACGACCTACGAGAAGGCGGGGAGTCCGGCGATTCGAAAAAGAATTTCCGGAGAATCGAAGTCAATGTAGTGAGAGAAGGCGAGCCCGTGGTTGAAGAGCCGGCGAGCGACTCGAACGCCTCGAGCTACTCCTCGAAGACTCCGAAAGCCGGTGGTCAGCGGTTGTCGGAAGAAGATCGTTATGAAGTGGAGAGCGTTAGCTCCGAGGACGCTCGAAGAATCGAAACGAGAAGGATAGTCGACGAAGTCATGCGAGAAAACCGTCCGAAGAGTCCGGAGCTCTCGGTCTTCGATCGGATAAATCAACGAGCGGCCAAGTTCATGGATATTGGCTTACCTCTCGGAGGCTCCAGAAAGTTGAACCGAAGTCGTTTCCACATGACGGATTTCGCAAAAACGGAAGAGACTTCTGTATTCAGCAGATCAAATAATCTCTTCGAGGACTTCGAGCTAAAACACGGTGATCTCATGGGTCGTTTCATGATGGATTTCCCCTTCCGCAACCGGGACGAGCTCGGTCTGGGCAAAAGCGACTTGCGCAGAGTCCATCTCAGGGAGTACAACGCCCAGGCAAGGGACGACACGACTTGGCAGTACGCAAAGGAGAACTCGGTGCTCAAGGGTGATTTCAGGAACCGCTGTCCGTTCAGTGATCATCTCTCGCGGTTTGACGGCACCCCACAGTCGCCTCAAAAGGAGAATTCAACACCGAGAATTCGGTCGTCCGATAGTGAATCGACTACTACAGGGACTGAGGATTTTGATTCCGATGTCGCCTGGCAGTACCAAGAGAATATTTCGCTCCTGTCGAGTCGACAGCACGGTTCTCGGCCGGCAGCTGCGAGCAGAGCTCCGGATTTCAACGCCGAGGAGGATCTCAGCATCGATGCGCAGAACATGTGGCAGTACCAAGAGTCGATACCAATTTTGAATTCTCCCACCGAGCGCGTTCCGATCACAGAGAGGACCTTCGAAGAAAAAGTTCGGGAGCGTCGCAAGAATGCGCTTCAGAAGCTCAACCCTAGCCTCGACGGTGACGACCCGTACACGGACGAGGACAACGACCTGATAAATCAGATCATGGGCACCGACCTCGGGGACGGCTTGCCTGTTTACCATCGAGACCTGGGGATTCAATTGGTTCCGGAAGTTCAGCCCCAAAGAGCTCCACGAGGATACAAGCCTATCTCGATGGAAGATTGCTCGGACGATGAAGATGACTTCCAGTTCGAGCGGCCCAAGCCGAGAAATGTCATGGCCCCGGGACCTGTGAGTCCTCTCCAATCGCGGAAAACCGTCGAGGACCTCGACATGCAAGCAGAAGCTCCGAAAACTCTGAAACAAGAGACCTCGAAACCGACTCGAGGTAAGCTGAGTCGTCTCCTCAGCAAGCTGGACGAGTGGGAAGAGAAAATCAAAGGCGCCCGCAAGCGAGACGACATCGAAGATGAGCACGGCTTCCACATAAAAACTGTCGAGAGCGAAGGAGTCGTCAAGCGAGAGCTCTCACAGTCGAACGGGAACCAGGACCTCACGGAAGAAACTGCCAGCGCTTATTCCCGGCGTGAGGTTCTCAGCCATGCGGGAGCTCTCTTCGAGGAGGAAACAGACTCGTATTTCGGAACATTTTCATCGAGAAGCTTCAGCAGCCGATCGACGAAGAGCGCAATGTCCTTCGAGACATCCACGGTGGTCCCGAAAAAAGCTTGAGAACGAGCGCCTCCAAAGCAGAAATGCGTTTTTGTGAGTTGAAACGTGTGCTGTGGCTGGAAAAGTTTTGCGGTGTCCGTGAGCTTAATGAACACCCCAAGTCCCGCCTCATACTTTTCTCGTAATGTTCCCGGGCATGGATTACTATAGACTCTAGGTGGAATCATAGATTCAAGACTTTGGGTGGACGGGAGGAACGAGGGAAGAGACGCGGCCGTAGAGCCAAAAGGAAAAGAATGAGAGAGAATTATAAAAGAGGGCTTACTAAAGTGCAAACGAATCGATTGCAGGATCGCGGTACCCGAGAACGCGGAATCCCCGGCGCCAGAGGAGGAGCTCCCATCTCTTCAATCGTCTACGTCGTCCGATTCCCCCGTTCCCGCGAAGAAGGACAAGGAGTGTGAGCTCCGCGCATCTCAGCCAAAGAAGGTCAACTTCACACCGAAAGCCAACAAGTCGTCGCCAACTCCTCTTAGATCTTTCCAGCCCTCACCCGTAGATTATCCCACGTCCCTGTCCCCGCAAGTGTCCCCCTCACTGCGTCGCGGTTGTCACTCTCGATCAACGAACAAGGTTCCTCCGACGAGCACGTCAACCAACCGAAGCTGTTCAGTTAGTCCCGTCCGAGCGAGCGGCACCGTCGGGAAGCATCCGATGCTTAGCTCTAGCAAATCGCTTCCCAACGCCGCCATTCAGCCGTCCAAGAGCGTCAAAGTAACTCAGAGTGAAAATCGCCCGAATAAAAAACCCCCCAATCTTCCTACGAGTGCCCCAGTGAAGCGCGTTCCTTCCGCATCTTTGAAAAGACCCCAACCCTCACCCACACCAAAAAGCTCCAGATCGTCTAATCAGAATCTAACGAGTCCATTATCCGTCAAGACGCATCAGTCATCGCCTCGTCCGAGTCTGCTGTCTCCTACCGTTTCGAGTGCTCTCAAATCTTGTACTACCCCGTTGCGCCCGGTCAACTTGCCGCTAAGGAGCCCGGACTCCGAAGCGCTGAACAGCCACAGAAAATCGCTGATCATTTCTTCAAGATGTAAACAGCTCGGACTCCCGAACAGATCGAACCGAGTCAGCGGAGTTGGAGTCAACATCAAATGACACTGATGACCAAGACGCGTCGCACCGAAACAAACCTAGAATGAGTCCACATAGGCTCTCAAGTTCGGAATTACTTTTCTCCTGGGGCGAGAACTGGCATGCTTGAGCCGAAACTCCGTAGCTCGACGTTCCAACGAGAGCGGGCTGTCAGGGTGTGAAATTCACGACTGAGTTCCACTAATCGGTCGCCACTCTGTCCGTGCGTTCGCTTGAGCAACAGATCGAGAAAGTATCGCGATGATTGAAACAGAGCTTTATAATTAAATATATATGAATATATACCATAACTATCGTTAGAAGAAATGTGACGGGAACTGAGCCTCAATTCCATTGAGGTTGGAACTCCGATTGTGTTCTCCATCTAGTTTCTCATTGAAGTGTTCATCCCTTCGTCAGCGCGCGAGCAGAGCGAACAATTCAACTCGACTCGGGTCTCAGACATCGTGCGTCTTCATGTATAAAGTGTTCAATATAGGGGTTCCGAAGACTCGTCGGCAATGAACATGTGGGACAATAAACTGCTTATTTAAACTGGGACGTGATTGCCCATGGAAGGTCCTGAGCGAACCATCATGTATCCGAATGACTGACATTTCATATCTAAGGAAGATATTAATAAAATATAGAGGAATTTCCGATTTCTGGTTAATGAAGCTGTGCGTTGCTCTTCCCCAATGGCAGTTTGTCACTCGGAGCGTATTGAGATGGGATCCCACATTCAACCGTCCGGTGACAAGAGGAATAGATTGGCATCCGCTCTCAGAAGGGCATACTTTCACGATAGGGCAGGGTCGACGTGCTTGAAAAGCGTCTTCTAATCCAGTGCTATCATCGAACTCTACTTCACGCGATAGAGCACGAGTTCCGCTTGAGAAGCAGAAACGTGAGATATACTACCAAGTGAGAGAGCTGCGTCGGTTTTATAATCGAAACGATGAAAACAGAGTCTCGCAGTCCATTGAACAGTCTATATTTGATCGCGCGAGCAGAGCGAATTTATCATTAGCACACGGGTCTATGACAAAATGGACTTTTGTTCGTTCATATGTTTAGCATCGCCACGGCAACCCGCGTGCTCGGAGGGGCGTCCCCGTACTCCTAAAAACGGCTCCCTCAGGAATGTTCCACGCATTTGCGATGGAGTCCGCATTTCTGGCGATGAAGATTGAAAAGCTGCCGACTCATACTGAAGCACGATATCGGCTTCGAGAGTTCAGACGGAGGAACTCTAAAACGATCGGCGCGCGCTACACATCTGGGGAACCCTACACGATTCGGGGGGATTTCGACTGCTTGTGACTGAGCCCGCCTGTTTCTCTCAGTTGCAGCCCTTCTTTGCGGTTACGAAATGATGACTCGCCCCTCGAACGCGGCCCGGTATTAATGACCTCAGAGCTCTGAAGGACTCCGTAGAGACTCAGAGAGAAGGAAAAAATCCTCGTTCTCTCGCCCACATATCTTGGTGGGGCAGACGGTCAAAATCATTGGAGGAACGAATTTCTTATTGTTGACACGAGCGCTCACATGCGAGGAGACGATCTACAGTATCGCAATAAATTGATTTCCGAGCTTTCTCTTCTGATATAGTTCTTAAGCACACTATGTGGATCAGCCTGGAGTTGGAGGTCTGACCGGAAGATGAGAACGGCACAAATTGTCCGGGAATAAAACTTTTTATGGACAAGTTTACAGAACTGCATGACATTTCACTTCACATGGTCGGCCTCGATGGTGGGGAAACCAAAATCACGCCGTCTCCTCTGACGAAGAGCATTGGAATAGATCGCCTGGACGTTTTGTAAACCTCCTCGAACGTTTCTTCGTCGATCTCCACCGAAGTGACCGTCTCCTCGACCTGGGAAAACAGATGCAAAGAATTAGTGTAGTCATCAGAACTACCTCAGAACTGAGGAAACTCTCAGGATGTCTATGAGACATCCCATTACCGGCATACGTACATCCCCTAAGACCATGTTGAGATGCTGATCATAGGCGTGCAGACGTCCTCGCAGTTCACGTTCGTTCCTCATCTTCACGTAGATACGTTCGTCTAAGGAAAGTCTCACCATGTCGAGCGGCTCGTTCATGACGCATGGCGCTTCGAGTAAGGGCAGATAAGTGAGGTTGAGTTCATCATGAGATGGGAAATGTTCGTCGCTAGGAAAAAGGTACATCGATCCGCGGAACCGGTCAACTCACCACTTTGATTCTCGGCCTCTTCTGCCATCCTTCCCAGTCGCACAAATCGGGGAGTTCGTGAGTGGAAGAACGGGTTCTGCACCGATTCGAGTGTGCGAACCCTTCGTCTCGCGAAGACTCACCAGCTCGTAGGAACGTTTCTTGAGGCGGCTTCACCGATCGTTTCTCCAGGCTCGTATTTTGTTTTGGTCTGTCGAGTCCCGCGCCTGTGCGCTGATCTTCGTCTGCTATTCGGGGACTTCCCGTCCACGATTGAGCGGTGGCGGAGAAGCTGGGCCTGCTCACACCGCGCACCGACGCCGCTCCCGGAATGCAATGACTGATCGACGCTGCCCATCAAGACTTATCCTATGGCTCGGTCCGCGTACAATAGTCCGCCAGGGTAACTCTCGGTCCGTGTGGAGTCATCCTAGGTGATTCTGGGTCCGGAAATGCATCTAGTCGTCCCACGTTCTCGACGGGCTCATCCGGATCCCGTCGGCCGGCGGAGCGGGAAGCGGGCGGCAAATCCCTCTGGGGCTCCGCGAGAGTGACGCTCATACCGACGGGATGAATAATGAGACAGCCCCGGGAGCTGGCGGCGTGAAGGCGACGACAAGGCTTCTGGAGCTGGGTTTCGCCCTGCGGAGTATCATTGCGATTCCCGATTCCGTGAGCTTCACCTGGAGCGATTCTCGTCCGCAATCTTACGATTAGCGGTCTAACAGCTGACTCGATTGCGCCCCAATCGCCTTCCGTTCGCATCACTGAACCGGATTTCTTCGGATCGTAGGCCGGGATGTGCATAACCGATGGCCTTCCTGGCACGATAATCTTCCCGCGTTCTTGACGGATAGGAGAGAAAATTCCGTGTCCTGGGTTATAATCCCATACCTCCTGAATGATCAATAGATCTCTCACATCGCACCGTTTCATTGCAACTTCCTCGGCGCAGCCCGCCATAACCATGGTGGTTATGAAGGTGATAGCTGATTATAGCGTGATTCTACATATTATCGCGACCCACGCACACGAGAGTATCCGTCCTCGTATCGTTTGAGAGCCTCGCGTGTTTCACTTGTACGTTGTACGGATTCATGTCAACCCACGGCCCGCTATTCGCTCCTAAATAGCAGCTCCCGAAAAGGTTTCCTCGGTTCCCTAGGAATCATTGTCATCAGCGTGAACCCAACATTGAATTTGGAAAGAATCTCCTTGTTCCCCGGGCTCGTTTTCCCTGGACAGCTTCAACCATTCCGGAGCAGAAACTACAACTTCCGGACAAAGTTCAGCATGGGTCGGATGAACGATTCGTTGAATTCGCTAAAAAACGATTCCTTGAAAATCGATAATAGTAATCTATTGATACAAGTTACACATCAATTCCCTAAAAATTATAAGTAGAGGCGGATTCCGGAGATGGAAAACAACAGATTGAGCTCCGCCGCTGCCGCGCTTCCGGCTGCTGATGCTGATTGCGAGAGGAGCGCGGAGAGAATGCTCGAACCACATACATGTGCATACTGAGATCCTACTCCAACTTGACCTGGTGACCATTACCAATTTTTGTTCGCCCCAAATCATGGCCGGCGAGGATGGAGTAGCCCTTGATTCTGTGGAGAGGGAATCGACAATACATGCAGCACATCTACTTAAACATATGTACATTGGGGAGGAGTCATCCGGTATCGACTTGAAAGACTTCGATCAATGTCTCACTTCTCTCCGAAGACTTCGATTGAAGGGTAGCGATGAATTAGATAATCGTGCTTGGTCATAGGCCATAAGTAAGTTCATTGGCGCCGACAGTATTGCTCGCGGGTGCATTCAGGACTTTCATGCGTTCATTGTCTTCGTTGGACTAGAATTCAAGGTTTCAGAATTCAGGGTTAGAATGCCGGAGTGCATCCCTCCATCCTTGGTAGATCGATCGTTGATGTTTTCATCCCCGCGACCGGCCCCTGCAGGATCCGGAAGATCGGCAGCAGGGAGGGGCAACATCTTCCTATGCCTCCGAAGACCGCGATAGAGTTGAACTTCGCGGGCATGGGTGATTATGATTACAGACGTTCGACGAAGCCTAGTACCGTTCGGGCAGCGAACTCGACGCATGAGGGTGCGGGATCGGGAGATATGCGAGTTCTACATATCCGGAAAATTCCGGATTGCGAGTCGCGGGCTTTCGCTTCTGAGTGTCGGGCGCGCCGTTGCCCTTGCTCATGGCTCCGCTGATACGGCGGATCGGGGACCATCCGCCATCTTTTCTGCGGCCAAATGATGCAGACTGCTGCTTGTTTAGGTGAAGTCATTTGTCGTCTGCTCCGGCTGTCTGTGTGTTGCTTAGTTGATTCTTCCCAATTGCAAGAGCTGTGTGTGGTGATGGTGTCATGGCTGACTTGAAGAAGGATAAATCTTCACCGACCCATCGTTAGTGAACGCTAGTTTTCAACCTAATCCGACCACTAGTGTTTGTCCCCCATAGGTGAGTTGTTAGCCTGAACTTTCGCCATCAAATCGCGTCGCTCGCTCGTCGAGTACGCGTATTGGAGAATGTGATAGGCAGTGAAACTTGCTCGGCGCCTCGTCGGATTCCAGGCCATCGAGCACCAAGTTGCGTTGTGAAACTCGCTTCCTCTCGAAATCGCCGTGGTCCCCTCGACTCGAGGCTTCGCGAGCCGAGGCGGCTCGTTCCACGGTCGGCTACGGGAAAACTCGCTAGCGCTTCCGAGCTGTGGGAATTACGCTACGTTGCAAAATTCCTCACTGTTGTTTCGAATGTCATCCGTTCGTTGTGCGATTCGTATCCAGGGACATCCACACACCGTCATCTTGCGACGGCTGGCTCAAAATCCGCGGTTGGGAATCGGTTGGTGGAATATCTGAGACGTGCGATAGAATTTCGAGAGCTGGAGGACAGAATGAGCGAGAACGAGCTCCATCGATCCCCTCCCGGCAGACGGTCGAGACCTCCGGGTCCTCGGAGAGCATGGGCTCGTTGGTGACATGGTCTCGCGGGGCGCGGGAATAATCATTGAGCCCACAGAGAGGCTGCTTCGAGTCGATTCTTCCTTTCTCTGTGGTGTAGTTTCGACAAGAGTTTAGCTCCTGGTGTCAGTTCAATTCTTCTAAGGTCAGAAGTTGTCAGAGCAGCCGAGCGAATGAAACCGAAACTGCTTCCCCTCGATACACCCGAAAGCTCTGTCTGCTCGTCTTCATGTCCACTGGATGCGTGTTATGGAGCGTCGAGGCAAATCAGCAGATGGGGCATGCTCTCATTCAACTCGATGGAGCTTACTGCGGGGTCCGTGAACTGTGGCGGTGCACCTGCGGACTACAAGACATATTTCGATCGGTGACAAGCTGTGCGGCTCGATAGTTCCCCGCCTTGAAAACTTCGTCTGTTCCGTGATTCAGTTCCGATCCATACTTTGACGTACACACATGCCGCTATGCCAGCTCTGGAGAATTCCAGCTTCCCCGTAATCCAGCTTCTGGTCAGTCAGTAGCTCCTCGGTCCGACCTTCAGCGCTGTTATGCGTAATTAGCGTAGCTACACGTGAGCTCACCGAAGCAAGGGTTGGGAGAAAATAGAGTGTCAAATCATCTGGCAAGCCAAAGTCTCTTCCATTTCGATTCAGTTTGTTGGAAAAGACATCGGTCCTACAGAAGATGTGCGGCGTTGACTCGTTTCCGTGAAGCATCATGACTGATGGAACAATCGAAAGCCATCAAGAATCAATTCGGGTACTATTCCGGCGTGTATCGGCAGAATATGGACAAAGGGACGCCGTCGATTCCTCATGTCAATTGCAGACTCCTCTGCTAGAATGACTGAAGGATCGAACTTAGAAGTTGTGAACGCGATGCAACGTGGTATCGGCGCGGAAGAGCGTTTCAGAATCGGTCTCGTCGTTCCTCTCGAGAAATCGGAAAATGACAAGAGGGGAATCTCGCTCGCTCCAATCCGACCTCGGCATGCGGATTCCGCTTGCGTACGAAGTTGAGCGCGAGACTTTAGGCCTGACCGCAGCACATCAGGCTCTCCATCTGAAGATACTGGAGATTTCGGAACAGTCGTGAGGACTCGGTGCGGAGAATGCCGTGAATTGCGCGCCGTGGACTTCCTTGCGCTGTGGAGGAGAGGAAAACTGTGCAGCGCACGGGTTCAGACCCTCGATGCCTGCCTGACAGCGAAGTCGTCTATAGATCGGAGTAGTTTTCTTCCTGCATGACTGGCTTCGATGGCATGTGTGACATTACATACTGAGGAGACCTTGGTCGTCCGCTGAGCCGTCGAGCACCGTCGGCTGGTGTTCGATACTGGTTCCGAAGACGGAGGCGGAAAAACGCGATGTCAGTAGCCTTCCTTGTCTGTTTTCCCCGACAACAAAAAAGAGCGACCGCATTGCTTGAAGTTACTTCTGTTGAGCCAGCATTCTACTTTGCCGCTTTCGATTTCCGTTTCGATGCAGCTGGTCTAGAACCTGAGAGAATATTTGTAGATCACAGATATGGGATTTCAATAATTCGCTCTCGTTTCCAGGGCTTTGCCTTCGGGCGCGCGGTTTCCTGTAATCTGGTCGTGAAGCGCCGCGGCGCGATTGTACGTCAGCAAAATGACGAAGTCGTCGTGCCCCCACGTCATAACTATGGGCGATTGGTCTCACGAAGAGATTTGCAATCGGAGCATAGCCTACAGTTGTGAAGCGTGTGGGGAGAGAGAGGCCGGGCTCTGGTGTTGCCTCTACAGAGAATGTGGATACGTCGGTTGCGGTAGAAAGAAGGCCGATCCATTCCGACAAAACACTTACACCAAAATCAGAGCATTCGCTTATGATCAACTTGAAAACATTCAGAACCTGGTAAACAAAAAAACCTAAATACGAGCCAAGAACGGAGAATCACATTATCATACGGGCTCCCAAATTTTCATACCCTCACGACAAACAGGACGATGGTCTTATCTAATCGCCGCTTCCCCCAATCCCTATCCAAGGTGTCATACGTGCGAATGCGAAGTGTTTCCGGAGAACAACGTGCCGCCCCTCAGAAGAGCCCCTCCGAACGTCGCTCACAGCGCGGGTGTTGCAGACGAACGACCCCTCGGGCTTGCAGGTCTTCAAAATCTAGGGAACACGTGCTACATGAACGCGGCGCTACAAGCTCTCTCCAATTGCACTCAGTTGACTGAGTACTTCTTAAATACACCAAATCTCCCTTTGAGAAATAATGGACGGGGAGCCAATCTGGCCATGAGTTACAGTAAAATGATCCTCCAGATGTGGCACGAAAAGCGGCCTCCCTATGTCGTACCCTCGGGAGTCGCGTACGGGATCAAATCCGTGTGTCCGGTGTTCCGCGGCGCGACTCAGCAAGACGCACAAGAGTTCCTTCGGTGTTTCCTTGATCAGCTCCATGACGAGCTCAAAAAAGAGTTTTTCCCGAAAAAAGAGCAGGACGAAGACGAGGAAGGCGCGGAGGAACATCATCGAGCCAATGAAGAGGAAGAAGACGAAGACATGGCCTCATATGATGCTGAAGTCGCCGCTAATTCGAATAATCCCGACAATAATGAAGATCTTTACGAGACGTGTGATTCCGGATTGAGCTCTGAGAAGAGCGAAGCCTCTGAGAAGACCGCCGATAACCATCGGTCGCTCGAAACATCCCTCGGGAGCTTGCTCATCGGAGGTAAGCTTTGGAGCCAACATCGATCTAGGGAAGGAATTGATCGATTCTCATTTTTCGCTCTCAATGATCGACCTCCAACCAACGATTCAAACCCCCTTCCAGAACTACAAAAAGTCATCTCGAGCACGGTACCCGGAGGAGATCTAAAGCGACCGACTCCATCATACCGTTCAATAATTTCCGATGTGTTCGACGGCCGGATACTATCATCTGTGCAATGTTTCACGTGCGAGACTGTCTCTTCGACGAAAGAAGTTTTCCAAGATCTTTCGTTACCCATCCCGTCGAGATACCACCTGAACCGTCTACATCACGGTCCGTCCTACGCCGATCTCACTGCGAGTTCAACGAGTCTAAATTCGTTGGCGAGTTCCCAAGGTCAGCAGGGCTGGATGGATTGGCTTTTGGGATGGGTGAGTACAGAATCTTTCAGAACCATGTTCGACGACATTCTCTCCATACGCATTCGAGTCTGGGGTCGATGTTGATTTTGCATATGATGTTGATGATGGTTTCGTTTTCAGCTTTACTCTTGGGTGTGGGGTCCGTCGGTCTCGCTGACAGATTGTCTTGCCGCCTTCTTCTCGGCCGATGAGCTCAAAGGAGACAATATGTACTCTTGTGGAAAATGCAATAAGCTACGGAATGGAGTCAAATACTCGAAGGTTTGTTCGTCTTTCTTGGTATTTCCAGCTGCTCTCCCTCGTGGCTTTGTCACTGCTCCGTAATCGCATAGGAGGGGTGAGGAGGCAATCGGAGAAATGACCTTGATTGAATATTCTCAGCTGATGGAACTGCCCGAAGTGCTGTGTATTCATCTCAAACGTTTCCGGCACGAGCTGATGTTTTCGACCAAAATTTCGAATTATGTCCAGTTTCCGCTCGAAGGATTAGACATGACACCTTTTACCCATCCTCATGCGAGAGACAAAGTCACCACTTACGAGCTAACTGCCGTCATTTGCCACCACGGTGAGTGCATCCTAGGGAGCAATCCCTCGGAGCCCCGTCTGAAAAATCGTGGGATATTCCGCGATGTCCGCTCCATGTATGGAAACTCACAAGCTGAAACAGATAGCCTAATTCAATGTCTGACCTCGAAAATGCTCTCAAGGTACTGCTGGCATGGGGCACTATATCTGTTACGCCATGAATGACTGTGATGGTCAATGGTACGAGTACGATGACGTTTACGTGACGCAGGTCGATGCGTCCACGGTGGCTAACTGTGAAGCCTATGTTCTCTTCTACCGGTTAGTCATACATTGGGAAGTCAATTGCATCGTCGCATGTTCGTGAGCTATTGCGAAAATCGAATCCTTCAATCCAACAGTGTCTCTTAACCCACAGAAAATATTCCGAGGAGATGCTGAAGCGAAGATTGCATACAGCAGATCTAGTCGATCGCAGTCAATGTGAACATGGAGGCGGTCCCTCATTTTACATTTCTCGACGATGGGTCAATCGCTTCAATACGTTTGCCGAACCCGGTCCGATCGACAACGAAGACTTCGTTTGTTGTCACGGCAAATTGGATCCGTTGATGGCGAATCGCGTCACTCAAGACGATTTCGTACTATTCAGTCAGTCGGTCTGGGAGTATCTTCGTGAGACCTTCAGAGGCGGCCCCGCGTTGACAAGCATCGAACCGTGTTCAGCTTGCCTGGAAAAACGTCGCGCGTTCATCGGTAAAAAACTCGCCGAAATCGCGGCAGGGGACGTTCCGTTGATATCGGGTGGATTCGCACCTCCCGAGATGCGATTCGAGCAGCAGCAATTCCTGCAGAATCCTGTTCATCAGCAGCCGCCAACGCAACAAGCGCGGCAACAGGATCAAGAGCAAAAAAATCAAGAGTCTCAGTCGGCAAATCATCGACCGGCCGATCATCAAGATGAGAAGACTAATTGTTCACAAGAACCGCGAATCAAACCTCGGGCCGAAGAAGAGAATGAAGAAGAGGAAACCATGAAGGATGACGATGAGGTTCTCACCATCGAGAGTCCAGCCATTCAAACCGATGACGATATTTTTGATAAAGTGAGTTTATATCCGTTGTGCCGTTTTTTCAGAAAAATCTACACACGTACAAGGCTCGGGTCGATGCAAGCGAAATTCACCATGACCACTATTTTTTTGAGTATCGTCGATATCGCTCATGGTCGATTTGGAGTTTTCGACGCATACTAATCCGTGATTTTTTCTGCGCTGGTGATGATCAAGATGGCGTCTGATCGAGTTGCCAAACTGACGATGACCGTCATCGATGAGAACAATGATATCGACACGGAGACCGATTCAGCATTCTGCAGTCCACTCGATAGTGTGACCAGTCAAGGTATAGAAAAGGAGATTATTTCCGGAGTGAAATAAACAATTCATGCTTGCGATCCAATCCGTTGCCTGCCTGCACCCGTCCGCTCCTGCTACTTTCTTCAATTCGCCTGGAGCATTTGACTATCATCGATTGATTCCGGGCGATGTGGAACCGGCTCCGGCGTGTGAAACCGTGACTTTTTTTCTCCCGACCTACCGAAGGGAAAACTACGCTCCGGCCGGAATCGACATCACGATACACGATACCATGATTATAACGTGGGAATATCCATCCTTATTGACACCGGCACCACGGACTTTTCACGCACGGGGTACACGTGGACAAGAGAAACTCCTGGGCCATTTTAGATCCGTCATCCGAGCGAAGTCTATCCCAGGCGTCCCCCACCGTCTGGGCAGAGATCCCGAGCGCTCGATTCTGTAACAGTAACTGAATCAATTTACAGATTACGTGCCGATCGGACCCACGAATCAAAAACAAGCTCCCGCAGAACGGAAGCGCGCTTCGAAGGAGAGTCGCAGTCAAAAATCGCGGCGCAACAGGCGAGAAAAAAACTCCTACTAATGGTGGACGTCGATTGTGCCCTCTTTGTTCTCCTTCGACGGTCCGAGGCCGGGACACACGCGTCATCGATGCCCTGTAAACCGTCGCGGGTCGCACATGTACAGATAATGAGTTCGGTCGCCTGGCTATTCGGTGAGCGAGCCGACGGAAATGAGAGCGGTCGGTCGAGCGATGGATTCAGAGGCCATAGGGTCGCGAGGAGAATCTAGGGACGAGCGCTAGGGAAAAATACCATGAGTTCGCATCGGACAGCAACATATAAATACACATATACATAATTTCAATGATGACTCCGAACTCGGAGCGAAACCACAGTGTAGGCACCCAGCGTGCTAGTGATCGAGGTCGTGAGGAGGGCGTGGAATCAAGACGTAAGACATTATGCAATCGTCCGAGTTCGCCAAACCTCAAGCTCGTCTGGAGCAGGTGCAGAGGGAAAGGACGAAAGGATAGAGAGTCAGTGGAAGTGGGGACGCAAGCAAAAACAGGAGGCTCTAGTCATGCCCGTCGGACGCGGATCTTTGCACATTATCTTTGGTGCATAAGCAAGTTCTAAAGTATTAAAACTTCGACAACACGAGATGCTCGCTTCGAGCGATCGAGTGGATTTATTTCTATTAGACAAATAGCACACTTCTCCACCCATTCTGGAACGCCTCCGCAAAGTCAACGTTTTGGTTTAGAGCTGACGCCTCAGAATAGCGCCGCTGTCTCTGAGTTTTTTATCGAGTGTGGTAGAGTTTGATTCGTCAACGTTCAGCGACTGACTTCCGGTACGGACTTCGTCTTGTGAGGCTGTCAAGGAATATTCATTCACTGTTTTACGCTGTTTCGGGAGAAGAGAATCAGTAAGCTTCCCAGTCCCACCGGAGTCTACAATAATTTTAGAGGAAGAATATGTTGCTCAAGCGTTCCAAGGATCCTCTAGAAGACTTTCGTGAACGCGGGGAATCAGCTGTTGTGTCACCGTGGCGTTCGCCCTAGTCTTTGTTGTAATAATAAAACTTATTTATCAGAGCCGGCTCCTCGGAAACTTGAGAATATTCCAAGACTCGGCGGATAGCGGAGAGAGCAGCGATGAGCGGAGGCAGGAGAGCCAATTTTTTTCTTTCAAGCCTGGCACGGAATCGCAGTTCAATTCAGGATCTTCACTGAGATTAAGGCCATTCAAAGTTCCTTCCGCGTTCGGTCCTGGAGGATAGCCCCCGATAAATTCGCGACTGACCGGGGCTCGAACTGTTCGATCCAATCAAAAAAGATCAGCTTTAAGCGAAACGGATTTCTTCTCCTAAGAAGTAGGTGACACTAGGGAACATCCCGCTCGGAGTCATTCCAAGTCATGCACATGTTTGACGGGAATTTTCCGAGAAGTTGAAGAACTTAGCTCCGAACTTTCATACCTTTCGGCAATATGTTAATAAAGCGGATCTAATAATCGTTGATTTGCTTAGAGTCTTCCTTGTTTGAATAAAATAGGAAATGTCGCTCTTCTCGTCCGTTCGCTCTCACGAAATCTGAGTCGTCATCCGCCTGCATCGAATAAGCGGTTTTCGGCGCTCGAGTGCCCGCAATTACCTGGGGAAAAAACAGTCGTTCGCTCGACCGGGAGAATGAGAAGCCCAATCGCGGAACCATGAAAAGGCAACCGAGGGATTGAGAGCAAGGATCGGCCGACGTCGGAGTTACTAACTAACGGACAGAGTCGGGGACGATGCCGAGATGGCTCCGCCGGGGCGTTGTAATGTAAGTTTGCACTCTCCGCACAAGCGAGATGCCGCGAGTAGTCCAACTCCCCCGACGACATTGTGTCCCATCGTTCGGAGAGGATGACGATAAGTGGGGATTCGCCCGCTACGCTGACGGCGCGGGAGCACATGGGAGACGGTCGGGGTAAACTCGGCTCTGAGTCCTGCGAGCAAAAGAACAGTTGTTGCGTCGACCCCGCTCCGTTGCGCGGATGTGTTGCAAGAGCACCCGGTCGTTATCTGGAGGTCTCTCTCCATTCATACGCCGACGCCTCCTCAACCCGAATGGATCCTCCGAGCGAGGAATGTTTTTCGCCCTTTTTCTAGGGTAGGCAACCTCCTTCTCGTGTCAAAGATCGATGTTCATAATCGGCGGAATCAACACCAATGAGGGCGCTCGGAGGAATGAGCATAGGCGATCCGGATCCTCGTTAGATCCCCGCCGCAAGGCTCGCTCCCCGACAGGCTGATTCTCGGAAATTCGGAAAGGACTCTCGGGGTTGTCTCTTTATATTTTCGCGCTCGCCCTTCCGTCCGCTATACGACGCGCGACGCGCTTGGTGTAGAATGATGTCCGGACCTTCAATAAATCTTCTCGGTGTTTGTGCTACGCGAGACGACGAAATGTGAGAGTGTCAAAAGCGGCACTTGAGGATGAATAATCATCGTCTGCCAGCATAAGACTCCCGCCAACGAACGGACGACTCATATAGCTGTTTGTGTTGTTCGGGAAAGCTCGACTGTCGTTTCTGCTCGCTTTCCGCTTGACTCGATGAGCAGAAGCAAGAGACTACCGGCGAGAAACGGCACCGTCACGGCGCCCCGCTATTCCCCGATTGCAGGCTGCGTGGTCCTCCGCTCCGCGATCAATTATCGCAGTGGAGCTTCGATTCGATATTCACCGTCCTATGGCTGCCGCCTTCTGTGACCGAGCCACCAACAACGGGAGGCAAGCTGGACATTTATGTTACGCAACAATGCGGAAATAAACTCCGGAAGGTGAATCCCCATGGCGCTGGCCTGGATCAGAGCAGTCTGTGACACGGCTGGCTCGTCGTGGACCATCAATCGACCTACATACATATGCATTATAATCACCCACTACGGCTGCATCGCCGCAAGCCCGAAGAATGAGCTTCATTTCAATTTGTTTGGGTCGAATGAAGAATAGTGTATGATACCGATTGGTGATTGGTGACCGGGCCAACAAGGTCGGCTACAACGAGAGCCAGGCGTGTCCTTCAGGGAACTATTGATCCCGTGCGCTCGGGGCAACATTGTATGCTCACAAAGTTGTCCATCAGAGCCGCGCAAAGTTGTAGGCGCTGGTGGTGGCAGCTTATTGGCACCCGAGACTGCATCGCTTCCGTTGGGAGCAAGACACGTTTCGTGCGCGGCTCCGAGTTCATTCGCAGTCTCGAATCTCGTCGCCGAGGTCTCCGCGGACGCGAATATGACCGCCTTGGGTAGCGACCATCGAACGGAGCGTGATTGGGGTGCGGCATCTGACCCACGACGACGCCGCCGGGGCTGGCGGTAGCCACATAGGCCGTTTTACCGGAAGGTTTGCGCTCGCTGCGCCTTTTGTGGCAATCTGTCACAGCGGTGCAATTCGCTTTTATTGACCGAGTGATTGGCAGTGGCAAGATGGTCGGAGCCCCGTGGCGCTCCGGGGATGCCGTTCGTTACCTGTAAAGGCGAGCTGTGCTCCGATGACGCCCAAGGCAAGGATTCTGTCGTAAAGTCGAGACCCCTATCGAGGAAGGGCCGCCGTCTTCCCTCCAAACCAGCCCCCTACCTGCGCATGGTGGTGAATCGGACTCCCTTCCCCTCAAACGCTGTGCCGCAGGTAACCTGCCACCGTATGCCTGTGCATACGGTGGCAGGGCTGCCCAACCCTTCCGCCAGTTGAATCTTCTTCAGCGAGTGATCGCCGCCTTTCGAGAAGAAACGTCCAGTCGAGTCCAGTCCTCTTGTTCCCATTCCTCCGGTCATACGACTCCGATGTGCGCTGTTCAGGAGCATCGATGGGAAAGCATGGTCCGATTGTGTGGGAGTCGATTCCCTTTCGGACGGGGGGAAGGCCCGACACAATGCCATATCGCACTCGACGGCTTCGCATATTTATGAGACGGTCACTACTTCGTTGAGTGTCGGCGTCAGCTGCATCAGAGCTGAAAGGGTCCGCGTGTCAGCCGAGGCACTTTCTCTCCCGCTCCAAGCATGTCCGGATGGAGTAGCCATAATTAATCTCATAGCACCGTTCGTTCTCCGGTGTAGAAGCTCGAGGGAACTTTCGACCTGCGCGGCTACTCGTCTCTCGCCGTCAGCGTTTTCGAGCGACTTATTCATGAACATGCCAACCCGATCAGATCACGCACAGAAGGGACCGAGAGCCACCTCGCCCACCTTTGGCTATCGGGACTACGAAGACGTGCATGGGGAGGCAGAAAGAGGAATTATGCCCGTCAAACTCCCATGATGCGGAGCCCTTGCGAGCAGCCAACGTCAGAGTCGTCGGATCGGCGGGCCCTGGCTGAACGGTGACGAGGAGCGTATTTTTTCCCTTCGCTCAACAGAGCGAACATATCCACCGACAGAGGCTTCTCCGGGACTGCCCATCCCTTCTGGTTGTCGGCTGCCTTTTGGGCGAGTTGTCCACCTCCGAAACTGCTTGTCGTCGTCAAATTTCCGTTTGGCCTCACTCCACTCACAATTGCCCCCGACGTTAGGGGGGCGCATCAAAAAGGCGGACGTCGGAGGCAAACATCTCGAAAACACGACATCGTGTTGACTCGGGGATCCTGGCTATCCGAGAGTAGACGAAAGCAGAAAGATGGGCGACGAGGAAATATTCATCGGCTGTCACGAGCAGATCGCCTAGCTAGCGGAACCCGAGCAAATTCACGTCTTGACAGACCGACTTCGCTTCAGGCTTTCGCTCCGCTCGCGCGAGTCTATCAGCGCCCGGGGGACTTGTTGGTCGGCATCGGAGAACAAATTATTTAGTGGAGCATAGTGGGCAGCACGGTCTCGCCTACAACTAAGTGAGTGGTCGGTAACTTGCTCGGTCGCTCGCCCTTACAGACATCTAGTGGAGTGTAGCGGCCTAATCGAGCTTCCGTGAATCCGAAACGCTCGGGGAGTTCCGAAGGAGAGCCCTGCTTGAGCACCCACTCGCGAAGATGCTCACCAATGAGCGGTCCCCGCGTAGCAGGTGTCATTTCCAGCATACGCGAGCTAGCTCGGGAATCGACAGACAGTATCTCCATGTGTAGTAAGCTTTCGAAACTCCCCTCAGCTCCGACTATCTTATGCGTGGCGACATATGACGCGACCGTAAGACGCAACGCATGAATGACGTACGTTCGACACAGGATCCAGGAAGGATCTTGCGACTCGCTCTGTCTCGAACAACGGGCCGTCAAATGGGAACCGGAGCAATTTCTATCATTCGCAGGGCGCCAGAATTTTCCTTATCTCCCCGAATTATGTCGTTGGGAAAGCCGGAGTCTGAATTCCCCCATCGCTAAATACTTTCGGCGTTGACTGAACGCTTCCCGTCGAGAAGCAT